GAGCCAGACTTGCCCTGCCTCCACCCTTGTGGGTGGACATTCCAATGAAGTGGAAGGCACAGGCTTTGAAGCTAAATTCTGGATTATGGTAGCTCCACATGGCCTATTCCTCCCACCACTGCGCCCACCGCCACTCCTATCCAGTGTCCCCATGGCACCAAGAAGTCTGGGTCCCAATGCCCCACCCTCTCCAAACATAGACATTAGCACCCAATACTCGGATAACAGGTCTCGGATAAGAACGTAGGAGACTGGCAGCTGGGACTTAAGCTGGCTTCTGAGCCTTGGCCCTGAGCCACCGTGTGTGTCTTTCTGCCCCTGCCTGCTGTGAACTCCATGATTGTAGCTGGATCGTGGAAAGGCTAAGAAGGTGCTAAGGGCCTTTATCTTACTTACTCTTTTAGGAGTATCAGAGCTGTCCAGGGGCTGTGTCCCTACCCGGCCACCAATATAGCCTTGTCTTCTGAGGCAAGTGAGCCAGGCTCACAGTCTATACAAGTCAAGTATGTAAAGAAGGAGATGCCATGACCCCCCCCCCAACACCACTGACCCACCTCTTCATTCCCCAATCTTCTCATGGCCCAACCAGCATGGGATCAGCATGAGAGACCCAAAGCCACAGCAAGCCAGGAGAGGGTATAGGGTGCTGATGGCATGTGTGGCCTCAGAAAACTTCAAGGAATAGCCAGGCGTTGTGTGCAAAATGTCCCTCTCCGTGGCCCTGAGTGGGTACTCAAGTCACCAGGAAGTGTAAGTCTGCAGGAAAAGCAACTCTGAGCTTTGGCTGGTGCCAGATCATAAACTGTGCGTTATCTGGAATTCATCTTTCTGTCTGCCTGTAAGGAGCCATTCTTCCCTGGCTCCAACCTGCCACTGTGGAGTTCAGGATCAACCTCACTATTGAAAGAAACTGGAAGCAATGAGCTGGAAAGATGACTTGGTGGTCAAGTCTATGTTCTCTTCCATAGGACCCAACTTTGGTTCTCAGCATCCATATGAGACAGTGTCCTCTTGTGGCCTCCATGAGCTCTGAACTCATGTGTGTATGTGGACACACACACACACACACACACACACACACACACACAATCTATATGTATATATAAATATACATGGCAAATCTTTAAAAAAGAAAAGAAAAAAAATGAAGTTGAAGGTAAAGACTAAAAAGTTGATTCAGTGGACAGAGTATGACAGTTCTAGAACCAGTGTTCCAGAAACTTCTAAAGTGTTCTCCTTTAACACAGTCTCTCCAGAACCTTTTCTCTAGAACTTGTTGCCAAACCCTCAATGATTCTCATTCCACTCTTATGATTTTTATTATCACTAAATATACACCCAAATTTTTATTAGTATCAACCTATGGACATACATCTTTTTCCTCTTAATTTATTTCTTTTTTGGAGTGGTAGTGAGAGAAAACCAGGGTCCTTCACGTCCTACCATGTCCTACTACTGAGATGTGCTCCTAGACCTACATTTACTTAGTTTTAAACTTATTTATTTTGAGATAGCTCTTCATCATGCAGCCCAGAAACAGCAAAAATAGAAAGAGTGGGAGGTAGTGGTAGAATGCATATATGCCCCAGCAATTCTGGGCATGGCTCATTGATAGACCACTGGCCTAGAGTCCCCCAGTAAGGTGACTGGAGAATGGCTTAATGATAGAGCATTTACTTGCCTAGCATTCAGGGACTCCCAGTTCCATCTCCTGTACCATCAAAAATATAGAGAAGTGTAGTCTCCTCCAAAGTTGCTATGGTGACCCCATAATGGGGGTGCCTGTGTCAAGCAAGGCCTGTCTTTCTTCTACCAAGATATCCCACTGTCGTTAGAGGCCGCACCCTCTTGTGGTCAGCAAAGGCTCCCAGAGAGATTCCCATTTGCACAGCCAGCTTCAAACCCCTGGGGTCCGTCCTGGAAGGGCTTTCAAAGGCCTTGGCCATTCTTGAGTGGGTGCCAGGACAGAATCTACTCTTGGAGGCAATTTAGCCAGCCACACGGGTGGAAAGAATGTCCCCATTTTCTTAACAGCGACCCCCTCTTGATTTATATGTGGGGGCCACTGTCCGAAGGCCCCCGGCGGATTGATCCTGAGTGGAAAATGAGAGGCCAAGAGCCAGGCGTCTGGCTGGGCTAATTATCCTCAATGAGATACAGCTGGCTGGGGGAGCAGGCTGAGGCCCCGGGCAGGGCCAACTCCCTGCCCCAGCTCTCTGGGGACCTGAAGGCCTGTCTGGGCTTGCAGCCCATCACCTACCAGGTCTGGTCAGGGTTCACCAAGTATTCTAGGAGATCCAGTTTGGCCAGTTTATGAGAAAAACAGAAAAGTGTCCTCAGTGTTGGATTAACTGCTACCCTAAGCCATGATAGTCCCTAAGACACCAGTGGACATCTGAGTCCGTTCTACTCATGGAGAGACTGAAGATCAGACAGGCAAAGCAGGCTTGGTGAAGCCCTGGGGAGGGTTCAAGCCTGGAATGAAATGCACCACCAGCTCTTGCCACATAGAACAGCCTCCATGGGACTTGGAGCTTTAGGCTGGTTCGCTGGGCATCCTAGAGTTGGGCAGATTTTGACTCTACCATCCACCAGACCTACTGCAGCGGTCTAGAGACATTGTAGTGAGCAAAGTGCTACCTGAATCCCACTCTTTTGGACTTACAATTCCCAGCAAAAGTACCTGGTGGGCCAGTTAGCTGGCTCAGCGGGGAAAGGGAATTTTCTGTGAGCCTGGTGACCTGAGCCTCATTCTGGAGGAGAAAAACAACTCAGGTAAGTTGTCCTCTGAACTCCACATGAGCATGAAAGCAGGTGTGCTGGCGTGAACACACAGAGGCATGTGCAGGCATGCACACACACACACAAGTGATAACACATATATTTAAGTGTCAGGTGTTCTGAAAGGGACTAGACAGGTGTCTGGGATTTAAGATGGTGTCACTGAACTGAGACCATAGCCAGGTTGGAATAATAGAGTACCAGAGTGTTCCAGACAGAGGAATCGCCATAAGCAAAGGCCCTGTGTCCAGAGGAAGTGGCAGGGACAGTAGTACAGCAAGAAGTTCTTAAGCTGTTTTTGTTGTTGTTTTGCAGAATTGAGCATTGAACCCAGGGTTTCAAGCATACCAGGCAGGTGCTATACACTAAGCCACACCCACCAGTCCCTCACTGGGGGATTCTAGGCAGGTGCTCTACACTAAGCCATACCCACCAGTCCCTCACTGGGGGATTCTAAGCAGGTGCTCCACCACTGAACCATATCCCAGCCCCTCACTGGAGGATTCTAGACAGGCAATCTCCTACTGAACAACAACTCCAGCCATGTTTTCAGTGTTCACTGTGAGAGAGGGTCTCACTAGGTTCCTCTTGAGCTCACCACACTGTTTTAACTAGTTTTATTGATCACCACTGCACTCCGGCAGGGTGAACAGACAAGGAAGAACGAGGAAGGAGGAAGACAAGGGCCTTCCCCCATGTACCCCCTCTTTAACCTGTGGAATCCCTTTGACTTCTGCATTGGCTGCCCAGCTTCCCTCGTGAGCCAGGGCCCCTGCAGGATGGCAGGTCTTGCGGTCAGGGAGAAAGAGGGTGTCAGAGGTTGCCCAAGGCACCCACTTCCTATAACCCTGGCTCTGTTTCCTTCTGTGGGACACAAACGGGTCTGACAAGTCTTCAGTGGTGTAGACAGGGTTCAGCTCATGACTTCCAGGAAAGCCAGTCTTAGAAAGCAAGGAGCCAGGCTGTGGTGGAGGAAGGGCTCTTCTAGAAGCCCTGGCCTCCTCTCTTGTGGACCACCTGCTGGTAATCCAGGAGCTGATGGGGGACCCTTCACATCCTCTCCCCGAGGGATGAGAATACCAACGGCTCCCTACTTCCTAAGTCTGTCTGTCTGACTGTCCACCTGTCTCAACCTCAATTCCTCCTCTCGGTTTTCTTCCTCATCACTCCCCCTCCCCCATCTCTTATTGTGCTGTTTATTGGCGACAGGATCCCATAGCCCCGGCTGGCTTCAAACTTGCAGTCGTCTTGAGCTGAACACTCTGAGCATGTGAGCCAACGTAACTCCTTCCCCCGGTTGTTTTCTCAGCTGTGTTGTTACTGGGGGCGGGGGTGAAGGGGATAAAGAGTTAGTGATGTGGCTTAGTGGGCAAAGGTACTTGCTGCCAAGCCTGAGACCTCAGTTTGGTTACCAGGACCAAGATGGCAGAAGAAGAGAACCAACACCCACACGTGTCCTCTGACTCCACATGCATGTTTCACACACACACACACACTAAAAATTGAAAATAACTATCATGTTTTCCATTGTTACTATACAGGGTTAAATATAACACTCACGGGGGGGGGGGTTGTCAAGATCTATGTATCCCCAGAATCTTCTGGCCTCTCTCTGGTCTTTACACATTCTCAGTGGTATCTCTTGGTGGGCAGACATTTTTAATCACAATGAAGTCCCCTTCGGCCTGGCTAGTCCATCTTCATTACCATGCATGAGGGTGAAGAGTTCCCTGCCTACCCTTTAAATGTCCCAGTATCCATCTCTCCTCTCAACTTTGCCTGTGCCCAGCTGCTTCTGCCCAGTTTCTCCCTTTCTATTCTACCCTTCTCCAGCTTTGGCTCATCTGAGAGTCTTTCTCCCTTTGGTCCTCATGTCCCTACTGCGTGTGAATAACCCTGTCTTGGCTAGGAGACTCACAGACTCTAGGTGCTCAATAAAACCCCCATCAATGAAGGCAATGCCCTGTGTCCCATATGAGGGGCATTAAAACCATCCGTTACTTCTAAACACCAGCTCATCAGGAACAGCTGAGAAGAACTAGGGAATTAAACGTTTTGGAAAAACTAGCAAGGAGGGGAATGTTTCACTGTCTTCCCGATCAGAGCACTAACCACGCAAACATTACCCAGATGTACATCTCTGTGTTATTTATTCCCACTTTAGCCCCAGACTCCAGAGAGTGATGGAAACTGTTTTCCCTACACATGCTAGCCTTGTACTGGTCCCCCAACCCAGCCAGTCTTGGCTGACTCCAGGTATGGAGGAGGCAGACCTTCTAGTCCTTCTCCTCGCCATGTGTGATGACGTAGCACAGATTCCTGTAGTCTAAGTTGCCACAGACATCAGGAGGGAAAGCTGCAAACATCTGCTTGACCTGGGAGAGGTAACAGATGGTCAGGTAAAATGGGGAAGATGGAAGAAAGAGGACTCAGAGCAGGGATTGATGGGAGATGTCATTCTGTATATGTTTCTCATACTGGTTAATAATAAAGCACTGTTGGCCAATAGGAAAGGAAGATAGGAGGGACTAGGAGACAAGGAGGAAATAGGAAGTAGTAAGGAGGAGCGAAGATGGAGAGTCTGGAGAAAGCAGTATGACGCCGGCTCCCCGGTAAGAGAAATACATAGATCAGCAGAAATGGGTTAATAATTAAGGCAGAGCTAGCCGATAAGAAACAAGTAACCGGGCCAACAGCATTGTATCAAATACAGAGTCTCTGTGTGTTATTTGGGGCTGGCGCAGCGGCAGGACAAGACCAAGCGGCAGGCGGAAAAACCGTACACGTTACAAGGGATGTCCCCCCAAAGCCCACACTTACCTCCTCCTCACTGAACCGGTCAGCCTGGGTCATAAGCTTTTCTTTAATGCTGTTGGTGGAGAGAACCTATCATGTCTTGGGGAAGGGTTGCCTGGTGGCCACGTAAACACAAGGTTCCTAGGGTAGCTCTGGCCCAGGGGATTCTCCCAGCCTCAAGGCAGCTCTTTGTGTCCTAACTGCTTCTCTTGACACCTGTATTCCTCTAGCAACAATGCGGGACAGAGTGGAATAATCTTGTGACTTCAACATGACCTGGAGGCCACTGAGATGCCCAGGGTGTGCTAATCAACCTTAGACTGCTGGAGGTAGGGGCTCCTATGTCTTCTGTCTAGGGGTGGAACCTAGGAACTGGGATATGTTAGACAAATATTCTACTGCCCATCACTGGGGGATTCTAGGCAGGTGCTCTACCACTGAACCACACTCCAGTCCCTCACTGAGTTACTCAAGGTAGGCACTCAACCCTCAAGTTATATCCCCACTCTACTTTACTCTCTTTCTCTTTCTTTCCTTCATTCCTTCTTTGCTTCCTTTCTTCATATCTTCCTTCCTTTCTTTCTTTCTCTTACTTTTTTTTTTTTCAAGATGGGGTTTTTCCATGTAGCCCTATATGTTCTAGAACTCACTCTGTAGGCCAGGCTTGTGTCAAACTCTGCCTGCTTCTGCCTCCCCAGTCCTGGGATTAAAGCTTGTGCTGCCACTACCCAGCTTCTCTTTACTTTATGTTTTGAGAAATCTTACCAAGTTTCCCAGGCTGGCCTTGAACTCATTCTATAACTCAGTCTGATCTTGAATCTCCTGCCTCAGAGTAGCTGGAATGGCCAGCCCATTCCCACCTTGGCTTCTCCTAGATGCCCCTTCCAGCTGTTTTGGCTGTCAGCTGACCAGCATTTCCCAAACTACATCATGATGTTCAAGGCCAAGAGCATCAGGGGAAGATGCAGCCCAGTCTTCCCATGGGTCTCTTTAGAACTTGATTCTTCACAGACCTGTGACACTAGTGCAAGAATCCCCTTTACCTAGGGAGAAACTGAGGCTTGGGAGGGTTTTTGACTTGCTTGCCATCCCAAAAAGAAGCTGTGACAGGGTTGGTCCTATCTCCTTAGGATCCAGGCAAATATTGCTGGAAGTAGGGCCAGCACCCAGTTCTGCATGAGAACGTATGTCCCTTGCAACTGAGAAAGAGTTTGCAAGCTTAGGGAGGTTCTGAAGGCAAGGATGGGATCAGAGAGCTAAGCAGAGCCTCTGCTCTCAAGACATCCTCTGGCACCGGTGGTGGCAGGCCCTGGTTAAGAACGACACACATTTTCCATTGTTTGTTACTATGGGACAGTCACAGTTTCCAGGTTGCCAAAGCTGGAGACTTTGCAGACTGTTTCAACCAGAGCCACTTCTGTGGCCTGTCTGGCCAGCAGCCCTGTGTTCTAGGTCCCCATATCCCAGGGCTGTTCCTTCCATTGCCAAAATGAGTGCCCCAGGGGCACCCCTTCCTCACCCCCACCTCAGTCCTGTCTTCACGATCCTGGCAGAGAAGATAGTCCCAGGCATGCCAAGGGGTTCTCCTGGCACCTCAAGAATCAGGAACAAGCTGCAGACCCCAAGGATGGGGTTCTGGTTTGATGTACATTTGGCACTCTGCACTCCAGGGAGCCTGACTCGGAGCCTTTGATGACAGTATGTAAGCAGGGACATGCACTTCTGTCTCCACCAGAACCCATGTGCTCTCTCCTCCACCCCCATAGGTGGGAGCTCGTGTGGGCAGCTAGACCCATCAGCACCTGGACTCCTAAAGAATGGCTGTCACTGGGTACCAGTGTATACCATTCTATCCTTGATAAGGAAGGGTCATCTCACCAGCCAGGGACACCTAAGAGCCAGCAAAGTTTGAAAGGGACACCTTGGAGGTTGGCCCAGGTTCTAGGGACCCTGACCTTGGCTCTTTGTCCCTTTGCCCATGGCCACTTTCTACCCAGGCATCCCAAGCTGAGCTGGTCACTGATGTCCCCAAATGACACTGCCCTCTTTTCAAACCCCCGTGTTTCCTGGCCCTGGCTTCTGGATCTTTGCTGGCCAGTCCTTTCCTTTCCACCCCACATACTTGGGTCATAGCCCCCCACACACTTTTCCCAGGCTCTAGGCTATTCATCTCCCCCAGGCCAGCTCAGTAATCCATGCACACTAAGCTATGATTCATCCTATGTCCTCACATCTAGAATACTATTCCCGCCCTTGACTGGTCAATCTGTACTCATCCTTCAAGGCCCACCCCCACTCCTCTCCATCCCCAACACTCAAAGCACTCTTTGACCCATGCTACACTGTCCCTCCACCTCCACACACAGGGAGAGGGGAAGGCAGAGGCGCAGGAGGGAGGGAAGGTAGATCAGGAGGAACTAACTGCGCTGGCCTGGCTGTGGTCTCCAGACACTGGACGGATGTTAGCCCTGCTCAGCTGTGTTCTGAGGGGGAAGGAGCCAGGGCTGACACCCACCCTGGTTCACCTCAGCTCAAGTCCTGAGAACTTACAAGTCAGCCTTGACGAAGCCTTTTCCTTCAGTATCAAACACCTTGAAGGCATGCAGTATGGTCTCTTCTGGGTCCGTGCCTAGAGGCAGCACACACGGGAGAAGGAGAATGAAAGGGTACTGAGGGCCTCTCAGAGGTGGTGCCAAGTTGGGCAGGGGTTGAGAGAGGGGGAATGTCCCTAACTCCTCACTGGGGGATTCTAGGCAGGTGCTCCACCACTGAGCCACACCCCAACCCCTCACTGGGGGACTCTAGGCAGGTGCTCCACCACTGAGCCACACCCCAGCCCCTCACTGGGGGATTCTAGGCAGGTGCTCTACCACTGAGCCACACCCCAGCCCCTCACTGGGGGATTCTAGGCAGCTGCTCTACCACTGAACTATGTCCCCCAGACTCTGAGTCATTTATTTCTGTAGCAAGTTTCTTCAAAGCCACAAAAGTGGCACACTAGGGACTATTCCAGCTGCATAGTCACCTAGCTCATTGGCCCACCTGTCTGTCTCTGGGTGGCCTGCTCTTGAAGACCTCTCCAATGAGCTCCAAACTCAGCCCCCAAGCTCAGAGCTCCTTTTCCTTCACTTACAGCTGCTTCCTTATGGTTGCTGCTTCCTCATCCCCAGACCTTATTGATTCAATAATATCAGCTTTGAGACCTTGGACAAGTGACCTAACCTCTCTGAGCTTCAATTTCTTCATCTATGAAATGGGGACAATTGTCAGGAGAGTGAAGAGCATAGGAAATACTCTGTCAGGAAGTCAGTGGGACAAATTATTTGCAACTAAATGTATGTAGCCCATTTAGGTTTCTGTAAAACCTTCAACCTCTGCAAAGTTTCTGTTGTACCACTTTTGTGGCTTTGAGGAAAGTTGTTACTAAAATAAACTAATCTGAGGCTGGGGCTGTGGCTCAATGGTAGAGCATCTATCTGCCTAGAATCCCCCCAGTGAGGGGCTGAGGTGTGGCTCAGTGGTACAGCACCTACCTAGAATTCCCCCAGTGAGGAGCCAGAAGCAAGGTTTGTCAACAGTGTGCTTGGTTAGTGTGTGAAAGGCCCTAGATTCCCCCTCAGAACAAAATAGGTTGGGTAGAAATTACGGGAAAGAAAGAGGAGGGAGAAGACAGAAGGAATTCTCTCTGCCACCAGAGAGCTTCAGTACCCAGACCTGTCTATATTGATGGGGAAGCTGAGGCCCATTGAAAAGGACTCATGGAAGGCCTCCAGTCTGTCTGAATGATAGCAGATGATCTGGCATCCCTTATTGGGGCCTTTTTCCTCCTCATGCTATCCCACACCTGGCTCAAAGAGGACCTGGAAAGCCCTTTCCTTCCCTTAAGGTTACCCACTGTCATGGGATCAAAGATGTTTGCCACAGTATATACAGGACCATCTGGCTAATGGCCTGGGATTTCATTTTGCTTTGCTCTTTTCTTTTGGTTTGTTTGGTGTGTGTGTGTGTGTGTGTGTGTGTGTGTGTGTGTGTGTGTGTGTGTGTGTGTGTTTCTTTTTGACTGCATGCCATATAACCCAGGCTGGTCTAGAACTTGCTTTAAACTCCTTGACCCTCCTTCCTCCCTCCCACCAAGTCCTGGGATTACAACTATGTGCCACCACACAACTTAATGGATAGGCTTTGGTGAATGTCAGTGAATCAGGGCTACAGATCCAGCTCTGCTCTGGGCCCACTGCAGGCCTGCAGCTTCACCACTTGGACATAGAGCTCTCTGGGTCTCCCCATCAGCTTGGGGTGGAACCCTCACATTTCCCCATCAGAATCTGTGTCTCCTCCATTAGACTAAATCAGGCTTTGTGCCTCCCCCATCAGATTGCACGAGAGACTGTGTGTCTCCCTGTAAAAAATATAGCAGGCCTCTGTGTGTGTCCCCTATCAGATTGAGGCAGACCCTTGTGTGTCTTCTCTATCAGACTGCTGTCTCCTGGGAAGAACCTCATTCCCTCTGAACGGTGACTAGAGCCAGTGTATCCACCCCAGGTGGGCTTTGCAGCAGAGTTAGGGTAGCTTGAAGCTAAAGGGGTACAGGGGTTCTGGTGGGGGCTGGCTAGAGTCCCGCCTCTAAGACCACCACTTCCCAATTCTATCAATTAGCTAAAGACCCCAGTCTCTCTCTGAAGAGTCCCAGCAGCTGCAGCTGCTCTGCAGTTGGCCCCCATCACCTCCCTGGGGACCAAGTTCTGGATTTCTTTAGCTCTGGCCTGGCTGTGGCACACTCACCTCAACCAGCGCCACTCCCCGCCGTGTCCCCAGAGAGGGCCTCTGCTCTGAGGTCTGGAAGTCCCATAAAAAGCCCTCCACAGTGGCTGCCTGCCATTGCGGGAAGTCAGAGGACAGTCTCCTTGTCTCAATTAATGGCCGCGATGGTGCCTGCCCGGGCCCACTGCCCTCCCCGCTGCCAGTCTCTCACGCAGCCCTAGACAAGTTTGCATGACAAGCCCAGCTGGAGCCCCAGGCCTGGAACCCCAGCAAAGATGAGAAAAAGCTGCAGTTTGAGGTCCCCAGCGGGCCCTCAGTCATCACTCCGACTTAGCCACTGACTAAGTGAGCCTCATGCTTCTCAGTCTCCTTGTCTGAAAACAGGCCATGACAGCTACAAGTGGTGCCCCTTCCTGTGAGCACCCAAAACAGTCCTAAATGAAATCCTGTCCATTTCCCTTATACGTGGAGATGACATCCTCTGGCTCTACCACTGAGCCACACCCCAGCCCCTCACTTGGGGGGATCTATGCAAGGATTCTGCTCCTAAGCCACACCCCTAACTCTGAGTGGAATATTCTAGGCAAGGGCTCTACTAAAATACCAAGGTACAGAAATCAAACCACTCCCTCACTCTGTGAGGGAGACCAGATCTTAACCTTAAAGGGTAGGGGCAGCCACAGCCCACGTATCCCATTCCACCACAGAACCCTCAAGCTCAGGGAGCTCCCAGGGCCAAAGAGAAGAGGACCAGAGGTGACCCGTCTTCTAGCCCCAGGCCTGGGGCTATGTCTCAGGGGTGTGGAGCAGTTAGAACTGCTCCACATTTTCTTTTGCTGGGGTACCTGGGGCAGATATCAAAAACTCACTGAGTCCCTCCTCAGCGCTGAGAAAAGCTCTTCAACACTTTCCCTGGAGACTGCACTGACTCCACAATAGGACAAGGCAAGTAACCTGCCTAGCAATGGCATCAGTCACAAGTTGATCTCAGAAAGGCAAGGTACCCCTCTGCCTACCTGTCACCATCAACAGGCACCGGAGGGGCAGGCCAGGCAGGTGTGGAGGGGATTAGAATGGGAGGAGGGCAGAGGGGCAGGTAGAGGGGGTCCTGGGAGTAGAAGTGGGGTGGGTATCATCCTGTCAGTGGGTAAAGGGATTACCAGGGAGAGGTCATTGCAGGGCTCTCCACTGTGCACACAGAGGTGGAAACTGAGGCAGGCTCCAGGCCAGTGTGCACAGCCAGGGAATAATGCCTGGATACTGACTGCGTTTCCGTCGGTGGTTATGTAACATACGGGCCAGGTGGGTGGGTATATCCAATTCCCGCTCCCAGCCCCTCCCTAGGCCCCCAAGAACCTCACTCACCCTTGAGCTTCTCCCCAAACATGGTCAGGAAGACTGTGAAGTTGATGGGCCCTGGGGCTTCCTTCACCATGGCGTCCAGCTCTTCATTCTTGACATTTATGCGACCTGGAGAGGGAGAGGGGACCAGTCCAGGAGAGCCTTGCAGTGTCTTCTGCTTCTACTGTCCCACCTGTCCCCACCGGGCACTATGCATCTATGGGGAAACTTCACAGGGAACATTGGAGTCTACAGGCTGCTGTCTCCACCCTCATGCCTCTCTCTCTAACACACACACACACACACACACTTTCACAGATTAAAACAGCAACAAGCAGGCAAACAAACAGAGACCGGAAGGACCACAAGAGGAAGTGCATAGAGAGCCTCAGGTCTCGATTCCTGGACACAGGAACCCTGGGATTCTACATGGTCCCAGCAGGCACTCAGGTTCCCAGGACCTCAAAACTTAACCCATATCGGTACCAGCTGTTTCCCAAACCCAGCTCTCTACTGTTTCATTTTGAGTGCTTTGCCATGTAGTCCAGGCTATCAGTGAATCAGAACTCCAACAGCCTTGGCATGAGAGAGCTGGGTTCATAGGCACGTACTACCACACCCTTTTGACTCCCCGGGACCCCTGGGCTATGCACAAAGCCAAAATGGTCTTAAAATGTCCTCCCTTAAGGCGGGCGGTGGTGGCACATGCCTTTAATCCCAGCACTCAGCAGGCAGAGGCAGGCGGATTTCTGTGAATTCAAGGCCTTCCAGAGAAACCATGTCTCAAAAAAAAAAAAAAAAAAAAAAAAAAAAAAAAAAGTCCTCTGAAAACCGCCCCCTCCACTGTGCTCCTTAGCTCTCAAGCCCCTTACTATGGCTGCCTTGATCTGCCCCTTTTTCTACCTCAGCCATTAGCTCTGTCTAAAACCCAAGGTCCCAAGCTGCATCAGCTTTTGCTTTACCCACCCAGTGCGGCAAAAGTGTCCCTCAGGTCCTCCTTGTCGATGAAGCCATCCCGGTTCTGGTCCATGATAGTGAAGGCCTGATGGAGACATGGACTGTGAGCCACTAGGGCCTACCCGGACCAGCTGGTCCCTCCCCATCTCTCCAGGGTGTCCTCAGTAGTTGCCACAGGAAGAACCTCAATTAGGAGCCCTTTCCCAGCCAGAGCTCCAACTTAGCTCAGCGTGCACTGCATCCTGGGAACTGTAGTCCGCCCCCTCTGAACATCTACCCTAAGCGCTTTGGGACTCCACATTCATTGTCTTATTTCAAGAACACAGCGACTCAGAGAGGGAAACTGAAGCTCTGAGAAGGAAAAGGAAACCTGGAGAGGGAAACTGAGGCTCAGGAAGGGAAAGGCTTTTCCACAAGTCACACAGCAAGTACAGGCTCAGGTAGAGAGAGTAGCGAGCCACCTCCGCAGGCACAAAGGCAGCCATGAGGACCTTGAAGGAAGTTGACAACATGGGGAGCCACTGTGGGCTCCTTGAACAATCTCTGTGAATCCCAGCAATCCTCTTGTGATGGTTCATCAGGTGACTAGACTTAGAACCACCATGGAAACACACCTCTGGGCACGTCTGTGAGGGGTTTCCTAGCCCGGGCTAGCAGAGGTGGGAAAACCCACCTTCAGTGAGGGCGGCTTCATCTCACGGGCTGGGTTTCCGACTGAAGGAGGAAAAGCAGGCTGAGCGCAAGCATTCTTTCTCTCTGCTTCCTGACTTTGGATACTGTGTGTGATCAGCTCACATTCCTGCCGCTACACACCTTCCCCGACCCTGACAGACAGGACCCTCAGACCGTGAGCCTGAACAAACCCTTCCTTCCTTACATTGCTTTTATCGGGCATGTTGTTGCAGAAAAAAAGAAAAGGAACTAATACAGATCCCCAGGGTCCCCAGGGCCACCAGCCAACCTCTTTAAACTCCTGAATCTGGGACTGGTCAAACATTGAGAAGACGTTGGAACTGGCTGTGCCTTCTGCTCTTTTCCGGGCTCTTCTGGGTGCCTGTGGGGAAGAGGTAAATCCTTGTAGCCATTGCTTCCTCCAGAGACCAGCAGTCACCGGTGCCCGGCCACGGGCCCCAGAACACCATGGTCCAGGTACCACTGCCCTCTGTCCGTGTACACACAGCAGCCCCTGAAGCAGTGGGCAGTTTCACAACTACCTGTGATCCACTGGAGAGGGCCTAGAGTCAGTATGGAGACACTCTGGACTTGTCAGTGAGGAAGTTTCTAGACTATTTGAGGGGAGAAGACCCACTCTAAATGTGGGTGGCATCATCCCCACGGGCTAGGGTCTTGAACTGAGCACCAGCGTTGTTCATCTCTCTGCTTTCTGACTGCCTATGCAACGTGACCGGCAGCCTCATACTCCTGTCGCCATGACAACCTCACCCGATGATGGACTGTATCCTCGAACTGTGAGCCAAACAAACCCCTCCCCTCCTCCTCTGCGTTGTTTTTGTCAGGTATTTTGTCCTAGCATCAGAGAAGTAACTAATACAATAGTCTCACTTTTCTCTGCTCAGGCAAGAAGTCTGCAGGTGTCCTGATCCAGTCACCCACCCACCCACGTCCAGGCTCCCAAAGCAGATGGGGTGGGAATGGGAACTTTTCTATCCGCAGACCTTCTGTGGAGCTTCCTGATCTTACCCCTGTAACTCCCTACTCTGCTGGATTCTGGCCTTCATGTCTAGTTGCTAAAAGCTTTTGAATATTCTCAGCAAGCTGCCTAGGCTCTTAGTCCTGCCAGATTCATCCTGGACAGGACCTCAGAGCTCCCCATCCACTCACCTGGTCCTTTTCCCACCCCAAACCCACTTTGAGCTGCTTTCTATCCCCCAATATCTGCTCCTGTCACCCCATAATGGTGTGTGTGTGTGTGTGTGTGTGTGTGTGTGTGTGTGTGTGTGTAGACACATGTCACAGTGTGCATGTATGTGGAGGTCAGAGGACAGCTTTCAGGAGTTGGCTCTCTCTCTTCTTCCACTGTGTGGGGAACAGGGCATCAGACTTGGCAGCAAACACCTTTTACTTGCTGAGCCACCTCTGGGTCGGTGACATTTTACAGAGAACTTACCTATTCAGCTAGGCTGGCTGGCCAGTGAGCCCCAGGGATCCACCCTCTCTGTCCCCAGTGTTGTTATCTCCAATACTGGGATTACAAACTTGTGATACCACATCCAACTTTTTTTTTCCACCTGGGTTCTGGGAACCTAACTTGGGACCTCATGTTTACAGAGCAAGCCAGCTACCAACACAGTTCTCTCCCCAGCCCCTTAAAGAGAGGAACAAAGGTCTGGGCTCAGACCCCTCCAAGCTGACAAGCCTCTCCCTCTCCAAGCATTTGTCTAGCCACCCCCCTCACCAGCTGGGGTTTCCCCAGCTTCCCTGTTACTACCACCTAGCACCTGTGTGGTCCCCCAACTCCCATCCTACTCTCCCCTCAATTCCCTGGGGCTCCTGGGCACATGTCAGGAGCAACAACCCAGTGACTTATAATTAGCTTTTACTGGGTGCTAATCTTGAATAATCCTTTGAAAGGGGGTGCCTGGCAAAGAGGCCACACTTGGGATGCTGTAAGCCTAGGAAATGTTTGTAAATCCCTTCAGATATCATAAAGAAAAGAACTCCCTGCCGAGTTCATCTCACATAATTACATATATATTTCCCTCTGATTAATAAAAAATGATCACTTCCGTTGGCAGGATATCTACCCATTCTCAGGACTACGACCCCCATCTCTCTCTCTCTCTCTCTCTCTCTCTCACACACACACACACACACACACACACACACACACACACACACAACACACACCTCTGTATGCCTTCTCCACCCTGGCCTTTCAAGTCCTCCTGGTCACAGGCCCTCCTGGGGGCTAGAGCTCTGTAAGACAGGAAGTGGTCATTTTTTATCTGGTTTGGAAGTTTAAGTTGATACTGCACCTTTGAAAGGTAAGCTTACCCTGAAGGGAACATTCCAAGGAAGAAGAGGGTCACCCAAACATCAGTTTTCATCCTGGCTTTTGTGATAATAAGAAAGGCAGATACTGTGACTGGGGAGATGGGCAAGTGGGTAAGAATGCTTCCTGAAGAAACAGGAAGACCTGAGTTCAAATTCTCAACTCACATGAAAATCCAGGTTCATTTGCCCACACATTTGTAACTCTAATGCTAGGGTAGATGGAGAAAAGAGGCTAGACCAATTCTAGATTCAGTGAGAGACCCTGTCTCAAGGGAATGTGGGGGAGAGTGACAGAGCAGGGCTCCTGATGTCCTTCTCTGGCCTCTGAGCATGTACACAGGGCATACACACACAACATGAGACACTTATGTTAACTTTAAGTCTCCATTTCCCTGCTTACATTACTTTTTTTTTCAGTGTCTCACATAGCCCAGGCTAGCTTCAGATTCATTATGTAGCAAAGGATGGCCTTGAATTTCTGATCCCTATGTCTCCACCTTCCAAGTGCTGAGATGACAGTGTATGTGGTGCTGAGGATGGCATGCAATGCCTCATGGATGCTGAGCAAGGGTTCAACTGACTAAGCCACACCCCAGACCTTCTTTACTTATAAAATCAAGAACAATGCCCATGTCAAAACATCAGAATGATTACAAGACACCTGCTGGCCTCCAGTCAAAGCCTGGGTCTAGTCCCCAGGACCCTGAAAGGAACCTGTCCCTTCTTTGTCTCCAAAGAGCTTATAACCCTGTAGGAGATGGGCTGTTAATACAAGGTGATAAAAGGAAGGACAGGTGCTGGGTCACAGGGGCAGGGGACAGCTGCAGGGCCTGAGAGGGACCCTTACCTCCAGCACACTGTAATCTGAGCCCCTGCCCAGCAGGCAACAGGAACCTCATCCTCCCAGTGAGAATATTGCCCTACATTCTATGAAGCCAGCAAGACCAGGTCACTCCATCTGTCTCCACACACCTCTTCCTTATCCCCCAACGTCTACCTTTGTGGAATCAAGGAACATCACCAAATCAAAACCCACGTGGATGAGAAGCTGGTAAACAGCTGTCTGTAGAGTGATTGTCTTGTTTGCATGAGAACCAGACTCATGTAAAAAGGCAGATGTTGGTAGCATGTGCCTGTGATCTAAGTGCTAGGGATGAGGGAACAGGATCCTTGGGCCTCACAGGCAGCCCTTCTAGCCCAATTGGTACTCTGTAAAAGACCCTGTCTCAAAAACAAAACAAATCCAAGATGGATGAACTGAAGGTGACTCTGGCCGTTACACAATGGATGCACACACAGTTGTACACATGGGAACACATGCAGACACACATCACAAACAAAGAGAAGCCACATAGATGAGACTGGACACCTCTGAGACTGGGTACCTGACAGAAGCAACACAGGATTGACCAAGTTCAAGTATCAACGTGCAGTCAGACCGCCCGTAGCTGCCAGTTGAGGGAACCAGCGAAAGAAGCAAGGTCAAAGTTGAGAAGGTAAAGTCTAGACGCACACATGACGTCATGGCCCCAAAGAGGAGGCTAGAGTTGAGCAAGGAGGTCAGGACTGAGGTTGGAGCTGGGAGGGAAGCAGGAAGGGAACCAAAAGCCAGGGTGCTGAGCTGCATGGGGACTGTGGGGGTTCGGGGAAGGTGGCCCCAGCCTACCATGGTCTGGCGTGCTTTTTGGGTGCTGCAGCAGGTCTGGGGACAGCTCGGGGTGGCTCTTTAAATAGTGCCCCTCCAAGCCAGGCACCACTCCAGACCTAGACAACAGGTTGGAAGGTGACCAAGGACAGGATGAGGGGCATTCAAGCCAGGCATCTCCCTGGGGCTGTGGGGAGTGGGTGGCAAAGGCCACCAGTGTGGAGACTGTCTAAGCCACGGGGATCTCCGACATCCCCAAGCCAACTGTTTTCTCTCTAGCCAAGGGACCATGGACCAGGAAGGGAGCAAGTGGCCAAGGACATGCACAGTAAGTCAGTGCCAACAACCAGTTGGATCCAGCAGGGTCAGAAGAGCTTCTGAAAGCATAGGTACCATACCAGCTGGTGCTAGACACTCAGAGCAAAGATGACCATCTTGAACTTCAGGGTTCTGTGTGGGACACCATCCTCTGTGATACTCAGCCCTCTCATGGGGACAATGGGAAGGTTATGATGTTGCTACCTGTAGTATGCTTTGGTCTGGCCCCCCCCCAGGGTCCCTCAACCAACATGACTGCAGTCAACCTATGGAATTCTAGGACCTCATACTGTTAGGAATAGGGCTCCAGTGGGAGGGTGGCAGAGGACAAACATGCCATCAGGCAGAACTTACATGGGAAAGAAGTTTTATTGGGAAGGGAAGAGTAGGGGAAGGGAGAGAAAGGGGGGAGAGATAAGAAAGGAAGAGAGAGAAAGACAGAGAGGGAAAGAAAAGAGACAAAGAGCTGTCTGCCTCCTCAGAGAAATGGGAGGGAGGGACCAGAAATGGGCGGAGCTTGCCTCTTAAAGGGATCTCTGTACCACACCTGCATACAGAGTCAGGATACTGCCTGCCACACGCAGAGGGGTGATTCACTGTGTCTGGCTCCTAAGGGGCAGAGCCAGTTCTGCCTGGATTATGACACATGCCTTCCAAATCTACAGATAGTCAGGTCCTTTGTACAGAGGATGTGGTATTAGCCTAGAACCTGGGTAGTTCTGTGTGATGGATGGATGGATGGATGGATGGATGGATGGATGGATGGATGGATGGATGGTGCTAGGGATCGAACTCATAAACTTCAGTTACAGGTAAGGTTTTTCTGCTGTCCAGACCTTTTATCCTTGCCTATTACTTCCAAGCACATTTGGTTGACTCTACACACATAGAAATTGTGTCTGCACATTGCTCTGTGGTTGGAAGTCTGTCGTTATGCAGCCCAGGTCCCTCTTCAGAACCTGAAAATACACAAAGTGAAGCCATGAGGGCTGGTGCATGTCTGCGACTTGAGCACTTAGGAGGTGATGGCTGGAAGGGAGTTTAAGGTCGTCGAGGCTACATAGAAAATCCAAGGCCAGTCTGGGCTACATAAGATTCTGTCTCAAAACAATGAAAAAGGGTGACTGTAAATGTACTTCATTAGTACAGCTCTTGCATAGAATC